CTTCTTTTGGTGTTCAGCACTTCTTAGCTTTGTCAGCTGCTTTCCAACGTCTATGACCTTATGTGCCTATCAGCTTCCTGTAGCCCTTGTTTGGCTTTTCGGCTTCTTTCAGCTGCTAGCCTGGTTTAGCTTCTTTCAGCTGTTCAAGTGCTTTTGTTTTGTTCAGCTTGTTTAGGTTCTTTCAGCCTCTTTTTGGCTTCTCGTTTGGCCTGCCCAAATGTTTCCGAGGGTCCCTCCTATTGCCCCAGCAGAGCCCGTGGTTCCGCCCGTGGATCCCATGGCTCCGCCAGCGGAACCGGATGACATGGATTTGGAGGTGTCTTGACCGGGCGTGCTCAGTGACGGACTGCGCTTTCCAGGCCCATCCGGATGAGAGAGGTGAGATTGAGGACATGGACAGATTGGAGAATGAGGCCATGGAGAAACTTTGGAAGGCAAGCCATAGGACTTGGAGAAACTTTGGGGTACTTGGAACGAACAAACTTCAGGGCTTTCTCGCAAATGACGAGCCGGGCGAGGGGGTCCAGGCCAGGCAACAGAACTGGCGTGGAGTTCTCTGAAGTACACGGAGTTCATGTCAGGCAGAGTCCGAAGCTGACGGCAAGGACGATATCCCAACAGAAAATCTGCACAGACCGAAGGGCAACGCACCAGGCAAGAACCAATACGGCGGGTCACACGTCTCTTGTGGCAGTTTGAGACATGCGCACACAACTTGTGCAACTTTTAATTTGTTGAGAGGTTGCCCATTCATGTTCTTGCGTCAAGAGCAGCGCTACCATATGCTGAAGATGCTGGATGTGCTGTAGCTAAATTGCGCCTTTGTCGAACGTACGGTTGCTGGCGACGCCTTTCAGGACTTTCCGCCTGAGCCTGATGTGCCGGAGGAGTGGGAGGACGGATTGCTTTTTTGCGCTTTGTTTGGCAAACTCCAGCTCATCAGATGGACGTTTGAGCGCAACATTGGCAGTGATTGTTGTGGAATTTGGCTATGAGACGCAAGGCACGGGAGCGTATTTGCTGAAAGTCAACTGGTTCACAGGAGCATCTCCAGCATGGTGAAGGATTCGAGGAGGATTGTTCGAGAACTGCTATGCCTTGTCAGAAGCAGCATGCCCTACACAGGAGGCGCAGGAGGAGCCGGATGGCGAGTGGCGTGAGGCCTTGTCTCTAAGTGCCTTTGCCTTTTCGGATTCTTCTGCCACCTTGCGGATAGCGCCCCCGCTTGATAGCTTTGAGATTATGCCGCATGTCCAAGGCTCATTTTCGGCCGAGCCATCCTGCCACCGTTGGCCTGCTTTTGATATGCGGAGCCTGGCAATTCAGGAGGCCCCCACAGGACACCACGGCCTCTCTAGGTGATGCCGATCAGCTCAACGATGTGGAGAGGCCTGTGCGCTTGAGAAATTCCACCGGCTTTAGGGCCGCTACCATCCTCGTCTGCAGACCTGACTGGGCGTCGCAGAGCGGGAGTCCTTGTCTCTCCTTTGTATGAACCTCCACGCGTAGCAGATGACGATCGTCTTCTCATCCACTCTCTCTAGGCTAATGGCACAAATGCCTGGATCCTACATGTTCTTGGAACCCGCCCACAAAACATCGCCATTTGCACGCATGATGTAGGCTCCAAACTGTACTGCCAGCGGCCTCCCCATTTTTCCTTGAGCACAAACTCTTGTCCCGCTCAGTGCTTTCTACTGTCGCTCTTCTTCTTGAGAATCACCTCGTCACATCAGCGCTCGAAGCTCACGGAGTGCGTCAGGCTGAAACCCAAGCCCGCGAAGCGCCCGTTCGATGGATCGGCGACCTCGTGTGGACGTTCACGGAGAAGATCCCCATTCGGAGAGAAGAAAACACATGCGAGAGCTTTACCGGGTGCCCGAAAGACAAGGGGCCGAGCGAGAGAGACAGGAGAGGAAAAAGAGAGTGCGAGAGAGCTACAGAGAGCGACAGAGAGCTACACAGAGAGGCAGAGAGACAGAGAGAGCGAGAGAGAGAGAGAGAGGGGAAGAGAGCAAGATGGGGAGAAGGGGAGAAAAGGAGAGAGAAGGGAAACGAGGAGAGAAGAGAAGCGAAGAGAGGAGAGCGAGCGAGTGAGAAAGCGAGCCAGTGAGTGACATGAGGGTGAGTGTGAGGGTGAGTTCGCGAGCGAGCGAGCAGCGAGCCTAAGTTGAGTGAGGTGAGTGGGCGGGTGGAGGGAGTGAGGGGCTGAGAGAGCAAGTAAATACGGGATCAGGGACAGAGTGTTCTTCGAGTGGGCAACTGCCCACATCGGCGCGACATCCTGCAATGCCTCCCCCTATTGGCAACATGTGGACTCCGCAGGTGTACAGGGATTGAAATCGTTAGGGGTGGAGGTTGGCAAGCGCTCGCCCAGATCTGCATGAGACGCGAACCACTTGCGCACTTGCCCGTGCGTTTCGAAGGAGTATCCGCCGGAGGAGTGGGAGGACGGGTTGCGCGCGTGTTGTTTTGCCAGAAGAACCGACCGGCCAAAGGGTCTGAGTTGTCCCACGATGTCCCACGGTCTGCGCAAAAACCACCCTTCCCTACACCCGCCGAGGGTCGCCCTAAACAAAACCTAAATCCACCTTAAACACACCCTAAGCCCACCAAAAACCTTTGCCATGAGCAAATCCCAAGCCCAATAAAACGGCAAATTGGGCCAGACAATGGGAGCACGCGTTGTAACTCACAACCTAAAATCATGAACATTTTGCGACTTGAATGTTGTTTTTTGCATGACAACCGCCGTTTGATTTGGATACGGAAAATCTCAGGCAGCGTATCAGATCATATAAATGATTTCCAGAGAAACTTGCTGCTTTGGAACACAGATCAACTCCAGCTCATCAGATGGACGTTTGAGCGCAACATTGGCAGTGATTGTTGTGGAATTTGGCTATGAGACGCAAGGCACGGGAGCGTATTTGCTGAAAGTCAACTGGTTCACAGGAGCATCTCCAGCATGGTGAAGGATTCGAGGAGGATTGTTCGAGAACTGCTATGCCTTGTCAGAAGCAGCATGCCCTACACAGGAGGCGCAGGAGGAGCCGGATGGCGAGTGGCACGAGGACTTGCTCAGCTAGTTTTTCTTGATGTTCCACGGTTTCGTTCCTCATGGATTGCATGCACAAACATCCCGCGTAAAGGAGGCTCAAGAGGAGGAGTTTGAGGAGGAGCGTTTGTAGCATTGCTGGTAGAATATTTGGATCAAACCAAAGTGGCAGGTGGAGGTGGAGGAAGAGGATGTGGCGTCATCGGGTTCCAAACTTGAATGGCATGCAAATTGGCCCCTCGCCTCACAATCCAAGGCCCGCAGCGGCAAGTGCCCCGCGCGTTCGCCGCTGGTATACCCACATTGCGCTCTGTCCGACCCACCGTGTCTGTCTGAGAGATCTGATAAAGAGTCCGAGGGTGATTTGTCTCTGAATTGCAAAAAGAGAATCACTGTGCTTTGCAATGGCCTGGCTTGTGCGCAGACTGATCCAGAGCGCGACTATGAGGCCCTTCTGCAAGCTTCTGGGGCGGCAACCCATCGACGTTGAAAAGGAGCTTTCAGCAAGCCTTGCGACCAACATCCTGTTGCGCTTTGTCTAGACATCTTGTGATGCCAGACACTTTGCGGTTCTGTCTAGGCGCTTTCAAGAGAAGAGTGTGTGTGTGTGTGTGTCAGGGCAAAGTGGTGATGTCGGGCTCTAGTCACGATATAGAACAAACAACTTGTCGGACTTATCGGCATTGACAAAAACAATGATTGAATGATATTGAATGGCTTGGGGAAGTTGAGCTGTAAAAGTCCAATGGGCGACTGCTATGAATTAAGCTCGGATGCGACTGAGAGAGACGCGATCTTGCCATGGCTCCTTGGTCCGCTTCTGCCTGAGCAAAGTGTGAGTTGGTTCATTGGGGAACGTGTGCCTGAGGCCGTGGGCATCAGTGCACTGGTTGGCATGCGGGGCCCCGGATTTCAATTCTGAGAATTCCCCAACGGAGAGACCCGAGACATCCCGAGACATCCCGAGACATCCCGAGACATCCCGAGACTCCGAGAGGCTGGCGGTAGACGCCATGTTTGACTTCGGGGACGCAGAGGCAGTAGGGCGCTCAGAGGGAGCGGGCACAGCGGGCACAGCGGGCACATTTCGCGGATGCCTTCGAGCTCTTCGAGGCCAAGAGCTACTACTGCACCCTTCTGCGCTGGGCTTGGTCGAGATTGGAGTCGCGAAAGAGTCTACAGACTCAAGGCCCACCCTCTTCACCTTCCCGCAGTGTTTGCGGGTGCTGCACCTCGCAAGAAGTGGAGCTGTACAGAACATTTTGCACTCGTGGCTCGGGCTCAGGGTTCCCGTGCTATTCTCTGGCAACTGCATTCTGCAAAATTGGTCCGCGGCCGAGATCGGTTCTCGTGCTTGTCGTTCCTCTTCACAACCTCAAATGCGCAGGTTCTGCCATCGCTCCCTCTTCCACGTGGGTTCTTGCGTAGCCATGTGCCCACTGTGCAGAACATGAGGGACCAGGGACCAGCGTGCAAGTTGTGCAAGCTGCGTCCGGTGGTGAGCAAGGCTTTGATACTGGGTGGCATCCCTTGCTTCGGGTTCTCAATTTATGCAGTCCTTGCCTCAGATCTCAGCATCGAGTGGCTATGGCCAGATCCACGGGCGCAAGGTGGATGGCATGTGCCGAGCCAACATGTCCCCAGAGCTGGCCATGCCAATCCTGCAAAAGGCGCATGCTGCAGCTTGTCTGAAGGTGAGTTGCCAATCACGGTTTAGACATTTGTGACATTTCGCACAAGGCAATGGCGATCATTTTCATGGCATGCATCTTCTTTGAAGCTGTCCTGGCCTCAAGTCTTCAAGTTCTAGTGTGAGAGACTGCATGTTTAAAGCTGCAGGCAGGCGCCGTTAAGCAGAAGCTGCCATGAGAAATGGAGTGCTGACACTGCTGAATGTGCAGAATGTGCTGAATGTGCTGAATGTGCTGAAGTTCACGACTCCAGGGCCTTTGGCTCAAGCCTGTCCACTTGTCTGGGGATCTATGTAGCTATATATGTAGCTGCTGTAGCTATAATCAGGCCTTTCATGGAGACCGACCCGACACTCGTTTCAGAGATGCAGGCGTGAAGTGATGAGAGTCTCAGCGCTCAGGACTCGACATGACAAGAGGGTCAGTTTGAAGAGTAAGTCGAGCAAGGCAGGGGATGTAACGATGCTACAAGATGTTGCAAGACCGTGACAGAGACTGGAGGCGAGCAGAAAGAGCGTGCTTTCTCTGAAGCGTAAAGGACCCGATGTTGTCGCTACAGTTGCCAAAGGTATCACAAGTGCGGAAGTTGCCATTTGCCATGTTCCTGGTGCTTGTCATGAAGCTTCAAGCTTGAGAGGATCGCAGATAACACTGCAGGTCAGGAGACGGGCGGATCGGTCACAGCCACTGACGGCACAACGGCTCCCAGAGATCATTAATGAGATTGGCATGGGCTGGTACCACCTATTAACCTTCATCATGCTGGTTTTCACACCTCTTGCTGAAGGCGCCGGGATGATAGCTACTTGCATCATGTCTACTGTGTTGGTCTCCTGCGTTTTGCAATTGTGTGTTTTTGTGTAACTAAGGTCATGACCAACATCACCCACGCCTTGAAGCATGAATTTCATTTGACTGATTGGCAAGCTGGCAGCTTGGACGCTCGCTTCAATCCTGGCAAGTCGGTGTCAGAAGCTTCGAATTCAGAGCGACCGAGGATGCCTTCTCTTTCACGGGGCTGGCCTTGGGGCATTATGTGGCTGGCTTCGTTGCAGACCTGAAGGGAAGACGGCTACCCATGGTTCTGGGGTACTTGGGCATCAGCCTTTGCAGCCTCTTCATGACGATGGCGTCTGGGTACAAGTCGATGGTCTTGCTAAGGGTTTTACACGGCTTTTCCTGCGGTCTGGGCGTGCCGCCTGCCATGTCCATGATCGCGGAGATCATGCCCGCGGATTGGCGGCCCTTCATGTTCATCACCTTCTGGAGCTTCACGGCCGTCGGGGAGACCTACGCCTGCTCCGGCCTGGTCGCCTTCATGCCGAATTTACAAGAATCCTGCTGGAAACAGGAGCGACACCTTCTCGTGAAGTGCAAAGTTGCTTCTGTGCTTACAAGGCTTTCTTTTGTTTCTTTCCCGGCTCGACATCCTTTGGTTCCATAGGCGGTGATGTGGTCCGCCGCGCCTGCCTTCATTATGCTGCGTGTTGGCTGCATGGCAATGTTGCGCACACCGCGCACGGTGCATACCGAGGCTTCTCTCCGTGGCAAGACTGCAAGAGAGTGCTCACTGGCTGGCAGTGAGGGGCCGACTTGTGGAGGCAAGGGTTGTCCTGGAGCAAATGGCGAGGCTGAATGGGACGCTGGGATGAAATTGGCGAATACATCTCACAGTCCCAAGTCCCCGTGCAAAGAGTTCCCTTTGAGGAACCTGGAAACCCTGAAGAAGCTGGGGCCAGCCCCAATGCACGACCTATCCATGCTCTACAACGTGGCGGGCATCACTGCGCGGCAGACTAGCAACTTGGAATATTTTCAGCCGTTCGAGGCCTAGGTGCCTAGATGTGCCTAGGTCTCTTTTTCCTTTGAACTTTGCAAGTGCCTTGAGAATCGGCTTCTGCATTCTTTAGGTGGGCAGACGTCCGATGAACATGGGCACGCATCTCCAGGAGAGATTTTCAGGACGGACTGCATTGATTTTTCTCCAAGCTGACAATTGCCTTGAAGCTTAGATGTACACAGGATCCTGGTTCAACCTGATCTTTTAAAGATGGCTACATGGCAGTTGGCTGAAATCATTGAGAGACGCTGGCCGGGTTTGCATGCACCGAGATTGCCTAGGTTGCCTTGTTCTCTATTTTGGCGAGTGTGGGCAATATCGCGACATTTGGGATGAGCAATATTTGGCCTGCGACCTGGATGCAACAGGCACGTTCACTCGTCGCTTCGACTTCGCGTGCCAGGAGCTTCTCCGCGAGAGCAGCCATTCGGCCCATGCGGCCCATGATTCGGATTCGGAGTCGGCCCATGGTTTGGGCCCTGCAGAGAAGCTGACCTTGATCGTGAGCGTGGGCGTGCCAGTTGGAGTCGTCGCCGCATTGCTCTCACTCTCCAAAGCCGCCTCCCACCGGGCCTTCATTGTTCTGTCTGGCCTTGCTGGCTGCATTGGAGTGTCAGGTGTCATTCTGTGCCAACACATGCCGGCCCTGCTCCTCACCAGCATGCTGGTCACGCACATGTATCGAGCTGAGATTAGCAGCTGGCAAAAGCATCGTTTGCCCTAGCCCCAGCCAGCCACACTCAATCAGGTCTGGGACCTTGGGATACTCCGTGGCAATGATCTTTTGCGAAGAGTCCTTTCCAACAGACATCCGCGCATCTGCAACCGGCATTGTCATTTTCTGGGGCACACTTTGGGCAGTGGCTTCGCCCTTGCTGCTCACTGCTGTGGCTTGGCTACCGCAGATGGGGGCCATGTGCTTTTGTGCTACGAAGTGTTACTGTGGGCCCACAGTGGGCCCTCGGGAGTCCCTTGCTCCGAAACCCTCCCTGAGGCCACCCAAATCGCCCAACCCTCATCAAACACCAGAACCTGACAGCAGCCGGCAGCCTTTACCCCGCAGGCCTGCTAGATCCAAACATGCCAGGACAAGCGAGTCCCCCTTTATGGAAACTTAGTGAATTTTGCCAAGGTCCCTTACAGATTCACCGTTTTCTGGATTTTACGAGCTGATGTCAGATGTCCGGCTTGCCTTTTTTTGCGATGTTCGCGGCCGGTATGCGTCAGCACCGAAATTGGGTTTTGCCTTTGGTTGGTTTAAGTTGGTGAATTCTGGGTTTAGGGCTTACTACCGGTTTCGCCTTCACAAAAGGCATTGTGCCTCACATCTCTCGTTTAGACAATTTGCAGCATTCTCATAAACTGAAGTGAAGTACCCGCTAAGTTCCCGTGTACGAAAACCACTTTGCTTCGTCTACAAAGCCTTAGGTGGGGGAGGAACAGAATCGCGGGTGCTGTGTGGCAACGCCTTACACAGCTTGGCTTAAGTGCAGGAGGGTTTGCCGAAACGTGCCTTTTGCCCCTTTCTCCTAAGCATCGTTCCTGAGAAGACCGCAAGAGCAAGAGACGTGCTGAACAGGCACAGTGGTCACCAAAGAAAATCCATGTGAGCTTGGACGGAGCAGTGAGTTTGATCGTACATGGCGCTGCTCGTCACATGAGCCACGATTAAAGCCCCTACAGATGAGAGCTGATAAGGGACAGGTTTGAACTGTGACTCACATGCCCCTCCCGGACGCTGCTCAGTTCGTGACTTTCCTTCTCCGTTTGTGATGTCAGAGACGAGCTTCTTTGCTTAGGAAGTCTGTCTGAGGCTTGGCGGTGATGCCAGCTCTGTAGATCAGATTGATTCAACTTTCCGCTGAGACGCCATGTTCATGATCCTACCCAGCACCGTTCAATTCTGCGCCAACGCAAATATTTCGCGTAGTGCCAGAAGTTTGAGACCATTTCGTTCACGACACTCTTCATATTGCACATAGGTGTATGTCGGAACCAGGACTCCGGGACCCTGGATCTCAGCCTCCTGGACCGTTGTAGCTCCAAAATATGTTTGCATTTGCGTCAAAGGCGTGCAAGAACAGCGAACGCATAATGCCACGAAGTGCCACACATCTCTAAGCCTGATACACAGGCAGCAAGCGCAGGTGTGGCAAGCGCTAGTGTGACGAGCTTTGCAAGTAACTGACTGCTACATTCGGGACAGTACAGGCACAGCCATCCAATACCACACACAGCAAGGGTGACAAGTTTTGTGGATGCTGGATGCAACGCACACCTTACACAAGTCCCTGGATTGGCAGAGGACATGATTCACGACACTGTACGCAAGTAAAGGGCGAGTCCCAATTTGGGAAGTGAGAGAAGGTGAGATGTTTGCATGAAACATGACTTGCTGAGCATGACAACCGTTGATGGCTCCGATGCTTCGAAGCAAAAGTTGTTTGGGTCATTGCACATTGCTTTTCGTTTGCGTCGCTACATGCTACCGCAGCCACTGACCCTGACTCACCTATTTGCTGCTGCCAGATGACAGTTAACTGGAGACCTTCATCCTTGAGCTTCGCGTCTAACAGCTGACAACTTCTTGCGGCTTCCGCGCTTTTAGATGGAACGGGCTTGTTTGTTTCACTGGGTAACAAGACATGCATATGTAAACGTATGCTGTGTTTCGTGCAGGCGAGCGCGCGCAGCCGCTTTACACTTTTGAAGCAACTATTTCAATGCATGATGGCAAACAGCAATTGTTTTACCGGCTTTTCCAGCCGACGCAACACACACAGCTGATGATACTGCGTGTGCAAGAGCGACAGCAGAAACCAATGAGGCCGAACCCACTTGGCAACCTGTCCATGATCACAATTGGTTGCCTCGGGCCAAAATGCGTCGGCATTCTTTTGATTACGTCTTGAGTGGCAATTGAGATTTGGAGCCTGCGCGCTTTCTTTGCGCATTGAGGTGGGGCAAGGCGGATTTCTGGTGATTGCTGGCGCGGCTTTTGGCGTTGCATCATTGGCAGCTCTGCCTCTGCAAGAAACACGCGGCGGGGAACTCAAAGATTTTGCGGAAGAGGCGGCAGTAGAGGCGGAAGAGGCGGAAGAATACGACTCCGACAGCGACGACGAGAGCGACGCTGAAGTGGAGCATGCCCAGCTTTCGTGGGCATTTGCCAACGGCACCCTTGGCATCCTGGCTACCAATTCTCCAAGCATGTGCATGTGAAAAGCTCTGTATACATGCACAATATATGCATAAATATGCACATTGTGTTTGGCAGTGATTGCTGACTTGCAGCTTCTGAGTTTGCTTCGCGTCAGGTGCTGCTATTGAGCTGTCTTTGCTTTCCGGGCTGCTGGGGGCAGTACCTGGTGTTTCCTTTACTTCCTTCTACTGCTCCATGGGCTTCATCATCGATCGATGCAAAGACCGCAGCTTCTTCGCCAAGGAGATGCTGGTCGGGAACTGCGTTGCCGTGGCTATGCTGGTGATCATGCCGCGACTTGGTCCTTGGATGGATCGGAAGCTGCAGATTCACAAGTCCATGTTTGTCCGCCTGGTTGTGAGCGCCTTCATGCTTGCAGTGGTGGACTTGATGATGGCATTCCCAGAGGACGAGTTCAGCATGCTGACGCTGGGCTGCATCCAAGCCTTCCTGAATGTGATGATGCTGAACACCAGCTTGTCACTGGCTTCCAAGCTCAGGAGTGGGCAGTGAGAGGGGAAGCTTGGGGGAAGCTGAGGGGAAAATGGGAAAGACCGGAAAGACCGGAAAGACCGGAGGAAGAAGTGAGTTGTGCCAGGAGCGGGCGAGGACGGAGCTGGGTGCAGCTGGGCTTTGTGAGCGGGGGGCTGGTGCCGGTGGTCCTGGTGCCCTTTACGAATTTCGGGCCGCGGAGTGGCCTCGGCCAACGCCTCGCCTTCTACGCGGCCCCCGCTGCCTTCTGCGGCCTTGCAGGGCTTCTCTTCTGGGCCTACCACCGCCAAGTGGAGCTCATGGGCAACGCGAACACGGGCAGGGGCAACATGGCCGAGCTGGCGCGGGCCTACAGAGACTTCGGCAACGAGGGACAAGTGGCACAAGCACAAGTGGCGCAAGCGCGAAACCCTTCTTGGAGTCAACAAGCTCGCGTCGCCTTCCCTGTGGTTTTGGGCACAGGCCTCAGTCACCTCAGTCGCCTCAGTCGCCTCAGTCGCCTCAGTCGCCTCAGTCCTCGAAACGCCTTTGGCAAAGCCATAGCTCTCGCTCGCTTGCATGTGTGGGGGCACGCGATGCAGCCATGCTGAGCCCACATTGCTAACAGATTTGTCGCTGTCTATTTGTGCGTAAACGATCTGATCCTTCGCTTGTTGCGTTTCACTCCTCATGCCTTGCGCTAACGTCGCGCCGTGAGGGTTTCAGGAGCATTCTCTCACGTGCTTCGATACTTGTTCCATCTCTTGCTGCGAACCCGATTGCATTGATCCTCACTGTTTGTGCTCTTGTCATCTTGGGCTGCTTGCTTGCGCTTGCTCTAGGGTAGGGTGTTTTTAGCTCCTGTTTCGGTGTTTCTGTGGTCAGGAGTGCTTTTTGGGATGGTTTGGGTGCCGGGTGTTTTGGGGGTCTGTTTTTATCTTCCCGGTGTTTTTGGTGTCTAGTCAGTGTTTTGGGCGCCTGCTGCCAGGGAGGCGGGCGGGTGTTTTTGGCGCCCGATGGGTGTGGTTGGTGTTTTGGGCACCGGGGCGTTTTTGGCGCCTGGCGGGGTGTTTTGGGTGCCAGCTCCAGAGCCTTTGCGGTTCGATTCCCGCCCTGTCGGGGGTCGTGTCCCACTTCAGCGCTGGGCCTTTTGGCTCTGCGGTTTGATTGCCGCCGTCCGCCACAGTCTCAATGATGTGCTGGGGTGCTGGGAGCGGGGGGTTGCTCCGCCGGCAACAAACAACGTCGTGCGCGCCGCAATGGCACACCGCGTGCAGCAAGGCAGCTTTGACCCCTGCAAATAGTAGGCGGGGTAGGGCGCAAGGGGCCGGGCCAAAAAAGGGAGGGGTTAGCAAGAGTAGGGCTCCAAACCACCTCATCATTTGCTACCCTCACCACACCAGCATATAATCAATCCACTTCCCAAAATGTTCAAAATCATTCATAAAATGTTTTAAGTTATTCATGTTACAGAATAGCCTAAACTATTTCAATCAACCTCGCAACAGTCCTCGATATGTTTTTCACTGGAAACATGGTCGCACCAATAATAATAAATTGCATTATTCTTGCATTTTAAACATCTAAACCACAGCACACCATTTTCAATTTCTTTTCTATCCGCTCGTTCGAGTTTTTCACCATTCAAACTTTTCTGTAAACATATTGATGATTCCTAGATTTCTCATGTTGAGACTTCTTCTCTCTTTCAATGTCACAATCGCACAATTCACAGTGATACACTTTTTGCCTGTTTGCTTGTATTGTTGCTTTCCCTGCTTCGCTCTCTCTGTGTGTCCTATTCTTTTCCTTTATTTGGTCAGGGTTATTTTCTCTGTATCTGCGCTGTGTCTCTGCCACTTTGTCAGCATTGTTTAATCGCCATCGCTTTTTGGTTTCTGCCTGTTTGATACTATTTTGCTCACGACAGTAATTACAAATCCGCACCTTTTTACTGAACAAATCAGATGAATAAGTATTACCACATTGCTTACAAGTTTTCATTTCTTCACTCATCTCCTACCATAGTAAAAGACCAGTTCTTTAAATAGTTTCACGACATAATCCATAACATGAGATATGTTGAAGCCCCCTTATCCAAAAAAACACCCAACAACAAAGAAGATAACCAAAAAACAAACAAGGATCATAACAAAGAACATTCCAAAGCAACACCAACGTCAACATTCCAAAGAACTTTTCAAAGAGATGTAACATAAATCTTACAATTTAAAAATGTAAGATATATGTAAGAAATCTGATTAACTAATATCTTCCAAATTGAACTACAATAACTATATGATTAGAATATGTAATTAAGCTTTTCGCACAACAATAGTCTTCATAACCTTTTATTAATCCGTTTTTGTAAATTTCAATTAAATCGGTTAATACATTTCTCATATAAAAGTTTTGATTTCTATAAGTCCAATAACTGTCTAGATGTGGAAAGAATGTGCCGCGATGTTTCCAAAATTTTAAATCATCAATTTTGAGGCAATTTCTAAAACTTGCTAACACTATCATCATCGCTCTTACAAAATGATTTCATTGCTTGGTAATACATTTTTCTATTCTTAAATCTTTCTGTAACCTCTTCTTGACCAAATATTCTGTCAATGCTTTTTCTATATTGTGTCATGTCATAATGTTGTTCTGTTAGATGTGTAATATCATTGTTAAGCATTTGTTTAAGACACATTAATTGAAATTCTGCTTTGTCCAATCCTTCATCGGGCATATCTTGATTTTTCATAAACTCTTGCTCTTTTAATAATAAGAATCTACATTTATCACATCTAATATTACTATATTCACCAATAGTTTTACACATATTAACAGGCAATATATTTGCCAATGCTACAACATTCTTATTGTTAATCTTTCTACATTTACAGTTGTCATAAGTAAACAGTGTCATTATCTCACTATATATATAGGCAATATGTCTTTAAACCCCTTTTATTTAGTCCAAAAACTATATTTTTAACATTTCATGTCTCAATAATAATTTTGGATAAGCACTAACAGAACAATATTTTTGACCAAAATTAGTTTTTATCTTCTCCACTGTATGGACTGACTTTAACCAGTGGCTCGTGCGTTCTTTTTCACTGATTCCTTTTTTCCTCATAATCTTAACCTTATCTCCAAAATCTAAATCAGGATAAACACGTGATTTTCTGGCATTCCACTTCAAACTCATTCTTTTTCTTCCTTGCTTCTAATGGTGTCCTTTTCGTAGTAGAACTTACCAATCTATTATTATAAGTTAATAAGATTTCAAATATGTAGTCAGTCCATTGAATATTATTTTTATCTTTCTTCTCATCCGCATCGACTCTTTTGAAAAGCATATCATTAAATGTCCTTATGAATCTTTCTCCAAAAGCAGGATGACCCCGTGTAGTGTGTAATTCAATTTTCTCCTCTTTCAAATAATCTGCAACGGTAGAACTAAACAAACTGCCTTCTTCGTCGCTGTATATTAATTTAGGCTTACCATCCATCTTTTTTAATCCTTCCATTAATTCCAGCTAATACATCAGCAGGTTGTTTACTCGCAATAGGTATGACAGTAGCATATTTACTGAATATATCAATTAATATCAATCCAACTCTGAACTTTTGATTTTCCAAACCATTCATTGAAATGAAAAACAAATCTAACTGGAATTCCCAGTAAGCATGCGGAACAAAACTGTTTTGACCTCGTTGTTTTCTAATCTCTTCGATGTTATTTTTAAAGAATTCATTTACATCACTCATAGTAATTGTTTGGTCCTTCCTTCTTGCATCTTGTAAAGTTATAGCTTTACTTCCATATCCGCTTTTATCATAATAAGTATCACTACTTTTTTTTGTTTATCCATATAATGAATTAATATTTTAAAAATTAAAAATATTAAAAATCTTAATGGGCGGATACGATACAATAGTAGCACTAACGGACGCAATTATCTATTTCATGGCTGGTATCATTACAAAGCCTTTGTGCGGTAAAGTTGCTACATAATTTGCTATGCTTGATTTCAAAATTAAATGGAGTATTACACTTCTGGCATCTGTTCTTGAAATTATCCGAGAACCATTCGGCAGTTATGTACTCCTTTTCATTGATTTCTCTCTTTGCTTTCCGTTCCTGTATTTTTTTAAAATTTTCAAATGTATTATTAAAGTATATCATTATCATATGTTTATTCAATTGTTTTTCAAAGTCATCATTTTTGAAAAATCTGACTTTTTCTAAACTCAACACAACGTGTAATAGAAGTCCAAAGCCACTCGCGATTTACAGATGGTAAATTCCATTCATGAATTGTCATGCTTTCTTTCACACTTGCTCCTGTGATGAGTGGCATGTTGCACAGTATGAATATATGAAATTAGCATCAACAACAGGTTCGAATAACATAACTTATCTTCTTCATTTTCTATGCAATGTTATTTGCTTTCCTAATTCGTCATTTTCAATCTTTGTTATTCTATATCTCAAATTTTGTGAAACAAACCAGAGGCCCCCACCCCTGAATCGTCATGTGCAGTGCTTTTCGGATAGCCATTCCGGCTTGGGAGTGGGCAAGGAGCCCCGCGATGCGCTGAGCAAAAGTTGCTCAGTGGTAGCGGGGCCTCAGTTCTGAAACCGGGGTTAGGTCGCCATGGCCGGTGCCTCTGAGAAGACGGAGGAGACGCAGAAGGTCTCCTATGGCAAGGACGCACCTCCACCGATGTGGGACGGCAGTTCGCCCCACGTGGAGTTCCCCCAAAAAATAGTAAAAGGAGAATTCAAAGAATTATTCTTTCTACTATTTTTTCTCCAACAGCAACACAACAAACAGAAAACAAAATCCAGAACAACAAGCAAACAAAATAAATAATCACAACCAGCAACAAAAATATTTAATCACAGCATGCAACATTAAATAATTCAAACAAGCATACCAACAAAACAGCAACACTCTAAATCATCAAAGAACCCAAACTCAAAAACACACATCAACAAAAACAAAGCAACATACCAACAAAAAATATCACAAGAGCATCAAACAAAACAAAAACAAACAGCCAAAGCACGAAAAAATTGAAGAAGCATGCCAAGTCTAAACAACGCACTTTGAAAGAGATAAGCAAATTATAATAATTCAATCTTTACAAACGATAAATATATTACAATTATAACATATAATATTTTACATGTGATAATTATATTTCAATTAAGAATTAAGGATTTAAGATAACAGTCAGGCAATATGTCTTCAAATATGTAATCTACATATTTATCAATATCATAATGTCTATATATTTGATATTGTCTTTTCGAATAAATATATTCCCAAAAGAATAAATACAGCAATAGACATACTTTATATTTAGTGTTGTAGTAATACCATACATGATATTTAGTTATTCTAAATTCATTCAAGACCTTGTTTATTTTATCTTTGCTTAATAAATGCCAATCAATCTCTTCAAACAAA